ACCATAGATAATGAAAGAGTCACCTTAATGCCATATTTGCCATGCTGCAATGGTAAAATGTTAAAAATATATGATAGATAAATTTTATAATGTGCTTTAATTAATACCATACACGCGAAACAAGATACTAATTCAATTTTTTATTTCAATGTAAGTTTCTCAAAGACCGTACGTTTATAGGAAGAGCAAATTTAGAAATAAAAAATATTTTCTAGTGGAAAAAATAAGTGCAAATTTAAATTACTTGTCCAATTTCGGTGTCTAGAATGGTGTCTAATCAATCAAATTGTGTCACATCATTTAAAAAATTGAAATATCTTGTTAGCGAACTTTTCTTTGCTTTCATATTTAGATCTATTAAATATCATGTTATAATTTGATTGGTTAGACACCAATTGAGACACAAAAAATAGATTGGTGAGTCCAAATTTTGCTACATGTCATAATTCATTAACATATGTTATTGGTTCCAAAGTAGTATCAAGACTAATATGTCCTAAAATTATACAAATTTAGTGTACTTATTAAGAGGTGTTCTTTAATTTAATTTCTACCTGTATCGGGATGCTCTAATTATTATTGAATTGTAGAAAAGGCAAGCATACTTCGAAAGACGCCTCCAGTACAATATAAGTAATAATAATAAAAAAAAAGACGCGTTTAATGAACAAAATGTCCGGTAGATATTCAAGAAAGAATCTGATTATAGACAAAGGGAATATAACGTGGTGTCTAAAATATAATATTCATTATTCGAGAAAAACGATAATATTCATTATCAGAAAGACTAAATAAATGGAATATATTTTGTAATTTATTTAAGTTTTCTAGATGAGGTCATGTTCACTAAAGTGTGATCCATGTACTTAGTCCAATAAATGTTGCCAACATTTAAACTTTTGTTAGGTCTGATTTTCAGGTATGTTGTGTTATAACACTTTTAGCAACACCGGCAATTAACTATTAAGTTCTAAGATGATCAATGGACATTGAATTGAAAACGTTCAGAAACAAAAAGTAATGCAGGGGAAAATTAAAGAACACTAAAAATGATATCACAGTTCGGTGCGCACACCTACATTTACGGGGCCACGTTTAGACAGTGAACAATCTACTAAGTTCAAAGATTTATAATCACCAATCGGTCTTACACACTCAAAGACTCCCTCTTTACCGTAGTCGTCGTTGTGAAGAATCCTCTTACTGACTTTGTCTAGTGAGCACCACTCGACTCCAAAAGCTTTCTCCCGAAAGCGATGCAAGCTTCTCCCGAAAGCCAAATCTTTCAATTACCAATTAGGCATCACAGAAGCACTACTTTTCTGCAGGTTGTATTCTCCCCAAAACCATACACGTTCATCACCCTCTCACTGGAAAACACTCACCCCACAGAATTTTCAAATCAGCCACACTCTGCACATCTTTTTTCTCAACGATGACAGCCTACACAATCAATTACATCCCCAAAAATACTTTCTAAAGATAGAGCCAATCAAATAACTAAAATCAACCTCCTGAGATTACATTCCCAAAATGCATGCCTTCTTCTATGGAAGGAATCATCCTAATACTGATGTCAACCATCCAAATCCGGAGCGAAATACAAAGATAAAATCTCCACGGCTGTGCACAAACGCCAAAAACCATTTGCACCAGTTTTTAAATTTTTACAAACAATTGCCAACTAATTAACAAAAATCCTAACAACTTTAACGTTAGCTATCGAATTAAATCAAGAACAATATTGTAGATGTAAGGAAGAAAAAGTAGAAGCTCGCTGGTACCTGAAAACTTTTAAGGTGGAAACCTGATCCAAATATCTCGCTATATGACCTAAAGTAAGATACGTGGACCCAAACCATGCTTCAAGAATCTTTAAGGGGTTGTTTGGTTGGGAAATTTGTATCCCGATTCGAATCATGATTCATGGTTCACTATAGTGAAATTATAAATGAGTACGATAGGCTGAAATGACAAATACATTTTTTTATTATGTAATTTTTATGTGTACATTAGATATTTTATGACAATTAAAAAAAAATTATACATCAACACATAGATAATCAATTCATTTGACCTTAAAACTTTTGAGTGACGGACCGACGTAATATTAGGCCATATCATGTAAGGAATTCAAACATCACAATATGGAAAAGTGAGATAAAAAATCATTTAAAATTTTTAAATAATGTGATTAATTAGACATTATTTGAACATTAAAATTAGAAAGATAATATGAGTTCGACTCCAACCTACTCGAACACTCGTCAATCTATAAGCCCCCCTCAATATAATTAAAAGAAAATACAATAAATTAAATACAAACGTCTGTGGTTTCACACTTAGCGCTTACAGTAAATTCATCCCTCACCCAATGTTGAGGTTTAGAATATTTCAAATCCATCACCCTCAAGTTAAACATAAGAATAATAATAATAAGGAAAGAAAGAAAAATACAAGAGTTCAACACAAAAAAAAAAAAAAAATCATAAAAAAGTCCAACATATCACAAAGAAACGCAGAACATCTAGAACCTAGAGAAAAGGAAAATAAATCAAAGGAAAATGGGAAAAACACAAGATGTACTCTATTGGGTATAAACATGCGAAGCTTGATTGACTGTCACTTATTAAAATCTACGGGAAAAAATGATTTCTTCAAAAGCAATGAATTAGAATAGTTAGTTGTCTAATTTTTGGTGTTTCAATTGGTGTCTAATGAGTTACATTATGACATGTTATTAAATTTAAACATTTAAGTACGTAGTCAAAAGGTATTTCAAATTTTTTAAATAACATGACACAATTGATTGATTAGACACCAATTGATACACTGAAATTAGACAAGTGATTTAAATCTAGAATAGATATTGATATGGTATTTTCTTTAGCATTTACAACATAAAACTAGTGGATAATGTTAAGTATCATATGAACTTTGTTGCATCCTAAATATAGCATTAACATGACTTCTGGATCGTTAGAGATGGTCTGATGACTATGGACAAAAACTTTCAGCCTAATTGATCAGGCAATGAGACAAATACGAATTCTTACAGTACAGTCTATACAACAATATCGGTGATAATTATGTCCAAAGTACTAATCTGAGCACTATTGTTGAACTTTGTGGTTACTACTGGGTTTAAAAAATTGTTAATTATGAAACATGAAGCTGATTTAAATATTACAAATTTATATATATATATATATATATTTTGCATAAGATTTGATTTATGATCTTCAATTTCACAAAACTCGTAAACCAAGAATGATAGCCCTCATATCCTGAATACCGTGTGAGCGTAGCTTGCCTCATTTGACTCTTGCAATGACTCCGTTGGAGATTCCCCCGTCTGCTTCAGTCCCTTTCTCTCTCTATCACATCGTTAATAATGGAAAGAAGCTCCAGATGTTTGTGAGTATGCAAAATTGGATGTTTATACATCCGTACAGATATATTATCAGAAAAGCGACATTTTTTTTTTAGTCTTTTCTTGTTATTCATCACGTGCATTGAATTGGAATATAGTACTGTTATATTAATATTATTGTTTTCTTACCCAGATGACCATTCACACTGATAACTGCATTTCATTGCTATATAAATAGCTTGCATGTACTGAAAGTTATAACTTATAACCAGCAATATTATACGTCCAAAACTTTTTTTTTTTTTTTTTTTTGTTTTGCCTTTCAATAGCTAGCTCTGGAGTGTGAAAAAATGGCATCTTCAGACCAAGAGAACTCAGGAACTAGCTCTTATAGTAGTAGTGACGGGCTCTTCAAGGCCTTGGCTGAGAAGATGTTGGGAAAAGTAGTAGAGTTCTCAAGGAAACTAAAGAAACTAGGACAAGATGACCCGAGAAGGATTATTCATTCTTTGAAAGTAGGTCTAGCTATAACATTGGTCTCCTTATTCTACTACTTCAAACCACTCTATGATGGCTTTGGCGTTAATGCCATATGGGCTGTTTTAACCGTTGTTGTTGTGTTTGAGTTTTCTGTAGGTATGTAAGAATTTCTGGGTATCTACCACATTTTTTTTTTATTTTTTTTTTAAATTTGAGTGGTATGTAAGAATTTCTGGGTATCTACCACATTTTTTTTTTATTTTTTTTAAATTTGGGATCGAATAATAAATATCGAAAGGCACATCCCAACTAAATTGGCACTCGTATTATGCGACGATCTGAAACCACTAGATATATATATATATATACATGCAACATTGTAGAGTACTAGTGCTAGCTGCTTTTGAATCAAAGTTTTCTAGTTAACTGACCAGATTTCTTTTCTTTGTTTCCTTATAATTATTTCAGGAGCAACACTTGGAAGAGGTTTGAATAGAATGTTGGCAACTTTGCTGGCCGGTGGTCTTGGCCTTGGAACTCATCGTTTAGCGACTCTTTCTGGAGAGACAGGAGAGCCCATACTCATTGCAGTCTTTGTCTTTGTAATAGGTACAAATAATTTACTTATAATTTTATGGCCGTTTAGTTTGCTGATTCGAGTTTTTAATTCGAGTTGAGATGTGACTTTATGTAAAAACTTTTTACTGTAGTAAAAAAGTTAAATGTGATTATTTATGAGAACTTTTTATTGTAACAAAACTCAAATTGTAAACTCGAATCGGTGAAATAAATGAGGCCTTAAACTTACTAATAATTTCATGATTATTGAGGGCATGCATGTGCCAACTTCTTGGAAACCAAGTGATCATTTTTGAATCACATGATCACTTTGCTTATGTTATTGTTCGTACCTTATGATCAAAGCCAACAAATTAACGACATAAGTCTCTTTTATATGCAGCTGCAATAGTAACGTTTTTAAGATTCTTACCCCAAATGAAGGTGCGGTACGACTACGGGCTGATGATGTTCATATTGACCTTCTGCTTGGTGTCAGTGTCTGGGTATCGCGATGACGAGGTGATTAAAACGGCATTTAGAAGGCTTACCACAATCACGACCGGTAGCATCACTACCGTGATCGTGTGCACTTTCATCTGCCCCGTATGGATCGGAGTTGAGCTTCACAAGGTGGTTGCTGGAAACTTGGAGAAGCTTGGAAATTTCTTAGAAGGTACTAATCAAAATAATTGGGATTTTTTTTTTAAATATAAAGATCGAGAAACTGGTATTAGGAAGATTACCACATCATAACTAGATTGACATCTAATAAAAGGTTAATGGTCAATTATTTAATTCAACATAGGTACTAATTAAATGAAAGTAACAGTGTAGGGACAAGTTTCAATTTAATTACCGTTTTCTAGAGATAATATATTATATAGATATATACGGGGGATCATATATATATGATTCTTTCCTGATTAGGATATAAACAATAAAATAAAATATTGATCTCCTTAAATTGTAAGATATGCACTCTTTAGTCTATATTTTACTTGCTATCATAAAACATGCGAACAAGTTATAAACAAATTTGTTTACAGGATTTGCTGGTGAATACTTTCAACTATCTGAGGCTGAGGACTCCAGGGACAAGTCATTTCTTGAAGGATATAAAAGTGTTCTCACTTCAAAAGGCAATGAAGAAAACATGGTTGGTGTCGTTAGGGCTCTTGTTCGCTCTTTCTTCTTTTCTTCAATAAAAATTTAGTAAAGTGAATTCCAAATGATAAATATTTATTTTCATTACTTCTACAGGCCAATTTAGCTAGATGGGAACCGCGTCATGGTCAGTTCAGATTCAATCATCCATGGAAACAATATCTGAAAGTTTCCAATCTTGCTCGACAATGCGCCTACAAGATCGAAGCACTCCACGGATACCTTCAACCTGAGACTCAAGTATGATTTTAGAATTCCTATTTATAAAATCTTATATACCAAATTTCATACTGAACAACAATGTCAACTAATGATCATATACTTATCATAATTTGATATTATCATAATCAAATTAGATTTATCAAACAGCTTGATCGAATCTATAAAAATACGATATTGATTTAGAAGCACATACGACAATTTATTAACATATAAGCACTTGTTGTACATACTCACAATTGTCTTCATAGTATCACACAATATTTATGATCTTAACTACGTAAATATCACGGATTTGATACTTAATTTATTTGTCTTTTATTACAAACAGACACCCCAAGAAGATAGAAGCAAAATCCAGGAACCATGCAAAATTATTAGCTCGGAATGCGGCAAAGCCCTGAAGGAATTGGCATCCACGATGAAGAAAATGAGAAGATCATCAGCACTGGCCGAACCCCATATCGCGAAATCAAAAGTTGCCATCGAGAATCTCAAAACGATGCTCAAGTCGGGCCAGATTTGGAAAGATTCCGATATCCTGGAGATAACTCCGGCTGCTGCCGTGGCTTCTCTCTTGATGGAAGTTGTTTCTTGCACTGAAAATATCGCGGAGGCTGTTCGTGAGCTTGAATCTCTCGCCCATTTCAAGAGCCCCAAGCCTAGAGTCACACCAGAAGATCCGCCACAAGTGATGGATGATAATCAGCAGGGAGCTATAATTGGTGCACCTGATGACCATGTGATTACAGTTAATGATGGACCATCTGATCAATATTTGATGAGAAATCCATCTAGCGTAGCAGAAGGTTCGCGGATCCATTTGTAGGAGTAGAGATACACACACTCACACACACACAAAAATATATATTTATAACTTGGAAATCCTCCCAATATGGGGTGACAATTAGGATTGCAAGGGGTAATTTTTTTTCTCTCCTCCATGGTGGGGTGAGTTTTGTTTCATCCGTTTCCTGTAACTTTCAAATTTTTGCAGTTTCGACTCGAAGCTTAGTAGATGTAATGCTTTAAAATTTCTTGAACCACGCACACACATACATGTGTGCGCGCGCAATATGATATTTTGCAAAATTTTCTCAAGTTTTAGTGATATGATTTGACCATATATCTCTTTGATCTTTGATGTCTAGTATGAGCTAGTACTCTCGATCTTTGAAAAAGTTGCTAAACTAGTCCTTTTGCTAGTTTGACTGGCCAATGAGATGTACAGGATGGTGTTAATAAATAATTTGAGTAGAAGTTTTTTTAGGAGAATTGTTTTTTAAAGCAAAAAATAATAAAAATTGAAATGCCAAACCTCTTTTTTTCTACTAAAAATATAAAACATGTTCGAAACTCCCAAATAAGAAAAGAATTACATGCTTGAACTCTGCTTGAAATTGTAGTATGTGATTTTTTTTTTTTTGGTATTGCGCCTTCCTCAAAGAAGTTAATTTCCAGCAAAAAAAAAAAAACAAAAAGGAGAAACAACTCTTTGGTATTTCAAATCCGCTAAGCACATTCACATGTATGCTTTTTTTTTTTTTTTTTTTTTTCTCGAGTAAAAACCATTATGATGAGAAAGCTAACACAATTCTAACTAGGTACGTTGGAACCTATCATCAAACTGCCTCCCGCAATGAACCACCAATGTTGGCTTTCCCTTAATAGACCCGAACCGGCCAAGGCCGCGTATTTTGACTTCCCAACTTCTGAAATCTCCAATCTCATCAGTGAGAGATCTTGCTTTTCTTGATTTTCAATGATCTGATCGTTGGTGGCTTCTCTCGTACTGTGATTGGATGGACCCTACTTGTATTTGGTACGATGTGTTCTCTCTCAATAGAGTGGCCAATTGTTTTGCAGTGATCGCAGAAATCTGAAAGGTTTCATGTTCTATTAAAATAAAAAAAATGAATTGCTCTTCTCGTTCAATTGATAGATTTCTCGCAGAACCTCTGCGAAATCAACGACAGAAACCCTAGCTCAAATGCCCGCCAATCTACCCGCAGGTTTTTTTTTTTTTTTTTTTTTAATGAAGTTTTAATGGAATACGGCCTATTCCTCCAAAAATTTCTAATATTGTATTCACATGCCAAAATAATTGGCTCAACCTTATCTTGAAGGCGATGAAGAATATTCTATGACCGTTATCCTTTTGCCAAGCTTCATTAAACCAACACAAGATCTCAAGATCGTAACTATCTCCATCCCTTTGAGAACTAATGTTAAACTCTCCGTTTATCACTGGGTTTGGGAAGTAATTAATTACAACATGAAACAAATATTACATATAAATACTTGATTTAGAGTGTATAAAACCGCCCTATTTATCCTTATCATTAACACATTTAGTAGGATTTGGGTGACCCGCTCCTTATCGTAGGGCCTTCAACGAACATTCCTGTCAGTGTCTGAAGAATCCCTATAATAACACTTAATAGGTATACTATTCCGGACTTTTTTTTTCCATAAAAAATAAAAAATATTACATATGTACAATATTTAATATTCATTTGTGATCTGTAATTCCTCAAAACTCGTAAACCAAAGAAATAGAATTATAGTTCTCATATTTTAAACACCGCGTAAGTATGGCTTGCCTCATTTTGACTCTTGCTATGACCATCGACAGGAGAATGCCCCTGTCTCTGTCTACTTCGGTCACGTGATGTCTCATTAATATATATACATACACACACACATCTTTCTCTCTCTCTCATCGTTAATTGAAAAGCTCCAAAAATGAATGTTGTTTGTGAGTGTGCAAAATTAGTTGGTAGATTCGTGTCATAGTCGGATCATAGTTCGTGGCTCGCTACAGTATTTTTTCTCAAAAAAATACACATAAATCAAGAATAATTCTGAATCATGATTCTAAATACATGAACCAAACGTTTTATAACTTATTTAAGAATCAGTCTTATTAAGATGGAGTTATTTTATTAACACTTACGCATAAGTACAGATATGCTCAGCAAACCAATAATGTTTTAGTCTTTTCTTGTCATTCATCACGTGCATTGTATTGGAATACTATACCGTCCTTTCACATTTATAACTCGCATTCCATTGACATATAAATAGCTGCACTTAAAACTTATTACTTACCAGTATTATATAACTTTGTTTCCCTTTTGCATCGATAGCTCTATAGTGTGAAAAAATGGCATCTTCAGATCAAGAGCCCTCTGGAACTAGCCCCAGTTTTGGTAGAAGAGTTTTCAAGGCCTTCAAGGCCTTACTTGAGAGGATGTCCGGAAAAGTCGTAGAGTTTTCAAGGAAGCTAAAGAAACTAGGACAAGATGATCCGAGAAGGATTATTCATTCTTTAAAAGTAGGTTTAGCTATCACATTGGTCTCTCTATTCTACTACTTTAAACCACTCTATGATGGTTTTGGCGTTAATGCAATATGGGCTGTTTTAACCGTTGTTGTTGTGTTTGAGTTTTCCGTAGGTAAGATTAATTTTTCAGGTATCTACCGCTTTTTCCTTTTTTTTTTTTTTTTCTTTTAAACTTCAAGAGCGAATAACTGATATTATAGAGCACATCATTTTAATGAACTAACATATATATAGCACTAGTACAATATACCTACATAAATCAAGTTTCCAAGTTAACTGATCTGATTTCTTTTCTGTGTTTCTTTATAATTATTTCAGGATCAACACTAGGAAGAGGTTTGAATAGAATTTTGGCAACTTTGCTGGCCGGTGGTCTTGGCCTTGGAGCTCATCGTTTAGCGACTCTTTCTGGAGAGACAGGAGAGCCCATACTCATTGCAATCTTTGTCTTTATAATAGGTACAAATAATTTACTTATTTTAAACTTTATCAACCATTTCATCTTATCAATAATGCTTGGAAACATGCATGTGCCAACTTCTTGCAATATTCAATTTTTTTTTTCCAATACCAAATGACGCGACAATTTCTTAATGTCATAATAATTTTTAAAGTATCATATTTGGAACACATCACTTTGCTTATATTTTTGTTGGTACCTTTATCAGATCCAACTAATGACAGAAGTCTCTTATATGCAGCTGCAATAGTAACGTTTTTAAGATTCTTACCCCAAATGAAGGCGAGGTACGATTACGGGCTAATGGTATTCATATTGACCTTCTGCTTGGTCTCGGTATCCGGCTATCGCGATGACGAGGTGATTCAAATGGCATTCAGAAGGCTTACCACAATCATGGCTGGTTGCTTTACTACTGTGATCGTCTGCATTGTCATCTGCCCCGTATGGATCGGAGTCGAGCTTCACAAGTTAGTTGTTGGGAACTTGGAGAAGCTTGGAAATTTCTTAGAAGGTAACTAATACAAATAATTGGTAATTTTCTTTTAAATGTAGAGAGAGAATCTGAAATCAAAGATCAGGAGGAATAAAAACAGTAGTTTTTGGTACCCTAAGCCTGATTTTAAATGTAGACACCGTTTTAATATTATTAAAACAATTAAATACCTGTAAGATGTTGCATTATATTAAAGAGTATCAAAATGATTTTATTCCTTTTTACGATTAGATAATAAATTAAAGCTTAATTGTCGAGATATTTAATCCAACAACTCAGGTACTAATTAAATCATGAAAGAAACACTGAGGGCTCAAGTTTCAATTACCCTTTCGAATATGTGTGTGTGTGTGTGTGTATATATATATATATATAAATCCGGGTGGAATATATTCTTCACTCCCGATAAGGGATATAACAATAAAATAGAAGTGAGATGTCCTCATATATCATACTATGCCAAAAAACATGCGCACTTACAAGTTACAAAACCAACTTGTACACAGGATTCGCAGATGAATACTTTCAACAATCTTACGCTGGGGACTCAAGGGATAAGTCTTTCCTTGAAGGATATAAAAGCGTTCTCACTTCAAAGAGCAATGAAGAAACCATGGCCAGTGTTAATCTCTATTTCACTCTATACATCTTCTTCTACCCTTTGAAAAATTTAACTAAAGTAAATTTCAACTGATAAATTCTTATTTCATACTTCTACAGGCTAATTTGGCTAGATGGGAACCACGTCATGGTCAGTTCAGATTCCGTCATCCATGGAAACAATACCTGAAAGTTTCTAATCTTTCTCGGCAATGTGCCTACAAGATCGAAGCACTCCACGGATACCTTCAATCGGAGATTCAAGTATGATTCTAATGTTAGAAATTAATAATTTGGTGAAAACCATCACCCAAAAGCCAAGAACATTCATGTCAGATCCTCAAGAACTAATAAATCTGTAAGCAGAAGCGTATCTTAATCTATATTGACTGATTTTTTACTAGAGTCGTGCAGTTTGTCTTTCAGATCAACACGTTTTCCTAGAGAACCCTTTAACTTTTTCTTTGTACTCTCTCTGATGATGAGATGTCAGAATGAATGAAAATTTTACATGTGATCTGGGGACCATAACTGCCATTTATTGATAACTTCTCTGTTATCTTTTGGTATTTTTATTTTAGCCCATCATAAAAATAGAAATTACCTTTAAGTCTCTACACATTAAAGGCTCACACCATATTAGATACATTAAAACCCAAAATACCCAAACCTTAGTAGATCACTTTTAATTGGGTTTAACCTTATATGAGAGTCCGCAACACATAATTATTCACATATAAACCCAACGTTGGATTAAGGATCCAACATCTAAAACTTCTATTATGGATCTTACATACAAAATTTCACACTGAACAACAAATAATCGTGTGCTCTATCATGATTCATGATTTGATAAGGCCTACTGTAGTTGATCTTCAAAGCTACATTATATATTTTTAAATTAATAACATAATCATACTACATTAATCAAACAGTTTGACAGAATCAATAAAAATATATGATGATGATTTGCAAGCACATATAGTATAACATTTCGTACACACTTACAATTGACTACAAAGTATCATGCATGCAATATCAATTATTCTTAGTTACGCGAGTATTGCAGATTTGTAAGTAATTAATTTATTTGTCTTTTGTTGCACACAGACACCACAAGAAGACAGAAGCAAAATCCAGGAACCATGCAAAATTATTAGCTCAGAATGTGGCAAAGCCTTGAAGGAATTGGCATCCACAATGAAGAAAATGATAAGATCATCAGCACTGGCGCAACCCCATATCACAAAATCGAAAGATACCCTCGAGAATCTCAAAACCATGCTCAAGTCGGGCCAGATTTGGAAAGATTCCGATATCCTGGAAATAACTCCGGCTGCTGCTGTGGCTTCTCTCTTGATGGAAGTTGTTTCTTGGACGGAAAAAGTCGCCGAGGCTGTTTGTGAGCTTGAATCTCTTGCCCATTTCAAGAGCCCCAAGCCTAGAGTGACACCTGAAGATTTGCCACAAGTGATTGTTGATTTTTTGCAGGAAATAATAATTGGTGCACCTGATGATCATGTCATTACAATTGATGGACCATCTGATCGTTGTTTGATGAGGAATTCATCTAGAGTAGCAAAAGGTTCACGGATCCATTCGTAGGACGCCCATAGATACACACATGCATATATAAATATATATATATATTGGAAATCCTCTCAATGTAGGGTGACAAGGAAGGCTGCCAAAGTGCTAGCATTTATTCCTCTCCCCCAACGCAGCGTGAGTTTTGTTTCTTTTGTTTTCTCTAACATCAAAAATTTTCTTTAACTCATAGCCTATTAGAGGTTTTTACAACTTAATATGCAATTTGGTTTAATTCTTTGACTTTACAAATTCAATGTAATTTCTTAAAAACTCTTGCATCACACACATATACATGGATGCGCGCACGATAATTTTAGAAAAATATTTCCCCAAACCAGTCGTCTTAATCGGTCTTCAGTTATACCTCCTGATCTTTGATGTCTAGTAGGAACTAGTCCTCTTGATCTTTGAAAAAGTTGCCAAACATCTATACCATACTCTATTCTCGTAAGATGATATACATGTACGTGTAAAATGACATAAATGGAATGCCAATCCTTTAGGGAGTTTTAATCAATGAAATAGATCGAAACATTGTTGATGTTGAAATGTTTTGATAGAAAATTAAATTTTTGGGGAAGTTCTTTTTTATAAAGAGAAAAAATAATAAATTGAAATGCCAAACTATTTTTTCTTCTAAAATAAGGCATGTTCAAAACGCCCAAATTAATGAGAAAAGAAGTACGTCCTTGAACTCTGTTTGAGATGTCCTACAGATTTTGATGCCATTCTCTCCATCCAATTATTCAAAAAAAAAAAAACCCTCCTCTGGACAAGTGAATTAAAGCAATCTTGTTATGTTAAGAAACCATTATTGGAGAATGATGAGTTAGAGGGGTTGATATCTCATAACATCTCATTATGAGATGTTTGTTTCCTATATTCGTCAATGATTCTGAATCATAATTCATGGTTCTCTACAGTGTTTTTCTTTCATAAAAAACACACGTAAAACGATAATAATTCTAAAATCATGAACCAAACGTCAACTAATAAGTAAAACGTTAACATATGTATAAAAGGCTACATTTATAAATCTAACTAATAAATATAAATTTATAATCTCTGATCTTGAGAATTAACATGTGTGTGCCAATATTATTATTTAAAAAAAAGCATATTTGCTGAATAGGGGCTAGCATTTATTTAGTAGTCCTTTAAAAAAAGATTAATATTTCATTAAACACATTTTCCTCTCGTTTATCCCAAATTTCTAGCAGTACATAACAATATGAGAACCCTACCTAATTAAGTAGCACAACCGACATTATACTACCGAATTTGCAGAGATATTTTCCTTTTCTTTTAGCAAGCCTTCTGGAGAAGATCCATCAATTTAACAGAATGTTCTGATCCTTCAGAACCAAGCTGGGGCTGAACTATTGCACGGTGCAGTAAACTCGGCGGTTGTTCTAGCGCCACTACCGTGGCATCTTCAGTTTTGAAACGCGCAACAGAAGATAGTTCAACCACGGTCTCTGCGATATCGTCGATGCATTTCACGACATCAATTAGAACTAAAGCTACTGCAGCACCAGGCACTATGTCAAGGAGATCGCCGTCATGATCTTGCCACTCGTATCTTTTGAGCAATGATTTTAGGTTTTCAGCAGCATTCTTAGAGTTTGTAATGTGGGCGCTAAATGACGATGATCGAATCCTTTTCTTCATTGCTGCTGCCAATTCCTTCAGTGCTTTACCAGATTCTGTGCAAATTTTGGTGCAGGGTTCTTGGATTTTTCTCCGGATTTCAATTGGAGTCTGCAAGAATTTAAAATTTAAGCCAAAGATTGGTTCAAATCAAGTACAATATTGAAAGTTTTGTTTGATATGTGTGCTGTTAATTAATTTATTTCTTTTATAAAAGTTTGGTAATAGGTGTAATCGTGTACTTGAAGGCAAGAACTTAAAATTTTATTGATCTATAAGAATAAGGTAAGAACTTTAAATAGGGCATGAAGATGGATCAAGCGAAAAAATTAACTATAACTGGACAAGCCCAATGCAGTCATTCTATGTTAATACCCCGAAATATATATTTTTTTTAAAGAGAATATTGCATAATTTACTCTTAAAAGTATACGAGTACTCTAGATTTTTACCGAGTAAATAGTAGAAATCCTAACTCAAGCACTTATAAAAGGTATTTGTCTATTTTCTACCGTATTAAATCATGTCAGATAATAATATACAGTTTGATTAACAATTCTCTAAAATAAAAAGTTGACCTATACTGATAAAGCTATTCCCCTACAATATACTGATAGAAAATGTGACTCAAGCCAACTCAACTCAACAGGGTTGAGTCCCGGCTCTCTCATAATTAAAGAGTGCGCCCCACCTGGGTTGAAGTTGCAATTGGAATTTTCTAATGGCTTTCCAGCATCTTTATGTTTAACGGCTTTGAAGGAGAAATTTAATGCTCAAATTTCTTCTTTCTAATATGCAAATATCTCTTGTTGCTGGGTGGTGATTTGGTGATCAGATGGAAATAAGATGATCTTTTAGGGTAAATTAATATCCTTCTGTGCTTCTAATAAAGCTATATTTTGTAGGTTGTTATATTAGAGAGACTAGTGAGCTTTAAACAAGCGCATGTACAATAATTAGAAAGCTTTTTGGTAACCTCCTCCTCTTGATTGGATGGTAGGTAATACTAATGGTTTGGTGGCCGTAGGTACTAGGGTTTATTTGGATGCAGTAGGGTTGCGGAACTGCAAATGCTTTTTCAAGGATTGCTTTTCGTTTTTGAACTTGGGATAGTGGGACTCGAACGCTGCATCTTATAATAGAGTCAGTTGTGGTGTTACTGTTATAGGTTATACCTATTTATTTTAAGGACTGTTTGTCTGCTATGTTAGCAATTAGTTTTTCTTTAAAGTGGAATTTATGACAATTATTTATGATCTTGGAAATATAGTATATATGTTGTTATATATTGAATAATAAAACTCTTGATGAGATCCCATGGATACTAAGAAAAGATGGGTTTTTGCGCTTTATGAAACTTCTAAACTTTCGTTGTGACATAGACTTGTGGTTCGAGACTGAATTTTCATCTCGACTCTTCTGCATAAAGATCGTGTCTATCTTCCTTTTCATAGCAATGTTCAATTTAATTTTTCAGGGGTCGTTCTGTTTCAATCATAGTTGTGTATATTGGGCAACTATCTACTGATTTATATATCTTGTCGGTCGTTTTTACCTCTTAGATTTTATCTAAAAGAATTTTAATTAGACAACCAGGCATTCATATGTTGCGGAGAGGAACATAGTATGTACAAACATATTTGGTTTTGTCAATTTTTTTTTTCATACGTCGAAGGTTCCTTTTTTTTTTTTTTTCCTTCTAAGTACTTGGTATTTTTCCTTTTCAATTAAAAACAATATTTTGAAGGAGAAGCTTGGTTTGAAATGGGGTTCTAGTCTAGAAGATGCAAATTTATATCCCGTTCATTTCACTGATTCGAGTTTTGTTACAGTAAAAAATTCTCAGAAACAGTCACATCTAACTGTTTTGCTACAGTAAAAAATTCTTATATATAGCCACATCTCAACTCAAATTAAAAACTCGGATCAGCGAACTAAACATGTTATTAGTTAGTAGCTTAAAAAAAATGTTACTCTATTGGATACGCATATACCTGGATCTCGGAATTCATGTATCCGTTAAGAGCTTTGATCTTGTAAGCACATTGCCGAGTTAGGAATCCAACTTTGATGTAATGTTTCCATGGATGGTGGAAGCTGAACTGCCCATGCCTTGGCTCCCATCTTGCCAAATTAGCCTGAAAATTAGGTTGAAATATTTTAACTCTTTGCCTGAATCGAAAAAATAAAATAACAAAACAAAATAATCGTAAACAAGAAAAAAATAGACAAATTAATTGACACAAATTAATTGATATTTATTATTAATCCCTACCATATTTTCTTCACTGCTTTTTGTAGTCAAAACACTTCTATACTCCTCAAGAAATGATTTTTCACTATTCGTTGACTGCCCATTCCCTGGTATGTGAAAGTATTCATCTCCAAACCCTGTAAAGTTTGCTTCACTTAGTTAGCCATGTGAAGATCGGTAAAAACCAAACTAGAAATACAACCCAAAAAAAAAAAAAAAAAACAGAGAGAGAGAGAGAGAGAGAGATGAATTAATGGTCGTGTTTGGAATTAATGCCCGTGTTTAGAATTAATCCCTTTTTGTTTTTCACGTTTTCTGAAAACGAAAAAATGAAAACGTTTTCAAAACGGCGTTTTGCACAATAAAGACAAAAAACGGAAATGAAAACGATTTTTTGGTTTAGTGTAAAATAAGAGAGAAATGAAAAACAACTTTTAGTCGTTTTTTATTTTTTGTTTTCGTTTTCCCCTCTCTTGAGCAGAGAGAAAGAGAGAGAGACATTAATGAGTTTTTTTATACTGAAAACAATCTCTTAATAAAACTAACAAACGTATTTTTAAAAATGATTTATGTCTGAAATTAAAAATGTTTTTATTTTCATTTTCGTACAAAAAAATATTTTGAAAAGAGTTCCAAACGCGTCAAATGCAACTTATAAATTAATACCTTGTAAAAAGTTACCAAGCTTTTCTATGTTGCCAACGATCAAATTATGGAGATCTTCTCCAATCCAAACAGGGCAAATGCAAATACAAATAACGATAGCTGTGGCACTCCCAATGATAATAGTTAATAATCTCTTACGAGCCATGTCTATAACCTGATGATCTTTGTAGCCCGAGACAGATACCAAGCTAAAGGTCAGTAAGAAAATGGTGAGCCCATAGTCATATCTCGCCTTCAAACTTGGAAAGAATTTCAGGAATGACACTACTGCGGCTGCATGTCAAAAATCAATTTTATTATTCATAAATCTATGCCAAAGATATCTCTACTCTTTCTTTTTTTCTTTTTTTTTTTGGGGGTGGGGGATACAAATCTAAAGAGATCAAAAGAAGACTAGTGGTGAGTGATAACTATCCGAAAGTAAGCCACAACATTTTATCATGTTCGGATCTTGATCTAGACTCCAATCAGCCATCTCTCACTTACACATCAAATTTTGTCATATACTTTTTTTTTAACAGAGATTTTTTTTTTTTTTATGTTTTTATTTTTTTAGACTACGAATCAATTAGGAAGGTGATCAGTGGTATTTTATCATATTTAAGTTTGCTATATAGTAGTTCTTAATTACACGTCAGGAAACTTGTGATTCTCCAAGAGAGTGTAAATTATATACAGGATACCACTTTTGTAAATTAAATGAGTATATTTATACGATCAATTCTCTGAAAATGGTATCCCTCTAATGCAATCTTTCTTACGAACCAAGAGCCCAATTCTTCGATCTCATAATTCCCCCATTTCTTCTGCCATGTATACTTGTCTGAACTAATTGTATATTTACCTACAAAAAATACGAGGAAGGCAACAATAATGGGCTCTCCAGTCTCTCTACCAAGAGTTGCTATATGATGGGCCCCAACACCAAGAGTACCACCTAACAACGTTGCCAACATCCTATTCACGCCTTTTCCTAGGGTTGCTCCTGGAAGGAAGGGAAAAAAAAAAAGGAAATTAAGAAAATAAATAAAAAAATTATAATGTATAATTTTTGTCCTTAAAAAAAAGAAGATGAAGAACTTATGGCCGTATTTGGAATTGATCCGGCTTTTATTTTTCACGTTTTTCGAGAAAAAAATGAAAACGTTTTCAGCGTTTGGCGCAATAAAGACAAACACGAAAATGAAAACGATTTTTTAGTTTAGTGTAAAATGAGAGAAAAATGACGACTTTTAATCGTTTTTCATTTTCTTCTCTCTCGAGCAGAGAGAGACATTAATGAATTTTTTTATACTAATAACAATCTCTTGATAAAACTATCAAATATATTTTTAAAAATGATATATATCTGAGATTGAAAACGTTTTCATTTTTATTTTCATACAAAAAAATCATTTTAAAATGAATTTTAAACGCGCCGCATGCATACAAAATTTATTTCATTATACATACCAACAGAGAACTCAAAGACCACCACCACAGTTAAGACGGCCCACATTGCTTCGTCGCCAAAACCAGGTCGAAAGTAGTAGAACAAGGAAATCAACATGAGTGCTAAACCTACTTTCAGTGAGTGAATAACTCTTCTCGGGTCGTCTTTTCCATGTTTCTTCACTTTCCTCGCGATCTCGACCGCCTGATCAACCGACAAATTCCGAGCCCAGCTCTTCACAGTACTCTTGGAAGATCCGGGGCTTTCAAGACTCGGGCATGCCATATCTTCTGCAAAGTAGTTTGAGAAAAGCAAAATGGATATAAGAGAGTGTGAGAATATATGAAAAAGGTGGCGAGCCATTTTGCATGGAGGGACCAAAGTCCTCTGTAAACTGACAACAGATGTAAAGAAATCTGTCACGTGTAACAAAAGGCTGAAAATTAACGTGATGAAGTTTACATGATCATAATCTACTGCTTGTTCTGATCATGAATGGTAATGCTAGTTTTTGTAATCAATACGACGTCTCCAACAAAGCCTTAGTAATGCTATTTGAAATGAAGGCAAATTTTTATCTAATCTGAAGTACTTCATAATATGAATCAACTTAGTGACATTTGTGATAAGATGAATTAACTAGCTGGCTGGTGGCTGCCCATAATAATGAATTCACTACCATTTGTATCAATGTATATGGATTTTTTTTTCAAATCTAAAGAGTAGGAATATTTTAGATATTGTATTAAATTTCAGAGTTAACATGAATGCCAATTTAGAAAATGCATGGATGACGGATTTTTTTATTTTTATTTTATTTTTTTTTAAAAAAAATTTCTGTGGCGTTTCCTCTCTAATAAATTTGTGGATGTAAACAGTGACGGATCGAAAATTTTCTTTCAGTGGGGGCACAAATGAAGATAACATTCTTTTTTTTATCAAATCAATTATGAAATCTGGCCAGAAGTTCAAACAACATAATTTACAAGCATTAATATTCAGATCGATTGTTATAAAATTGAAGTCAATAGAAAAAAAAATTATAAAAAGGAGCTTTTATACAAATTTAAAAAATAAAATTGCACGAAAAAAATTGCGGGAAGAAAGTGAACCAAAATGGTGGCTATGGTACAAAGAAAAGGGAAAAAAATGAAATAATCTAAATATGAAGTGGGGGCAACTTTAAGAGAAATATATTTAAGTAAAGGAAAATACAAAAATTAGAGAGATATGGGGACCAAATTGAGAAATCAAAAACTTTGAGTGGGGGCAAGTGCCCCACTTGAATGGATTTGTCACTGGCTGCAAGTATACCCCCTCTCTCTCTGTCTTTCAATCTTCTCCAACTTTTCTCTCTAGCAATCCTCCGATATTTTCTCTCTAAATTTTGAAAAACTAATTCAGTCTAGAGCTGTAAGTTTGGGCCATACTAAACGGGCTGACCCAAGCACGTTACTATTCACATATCCCATTTTGCTTTAGTGGCCGGGCCAAGCTTGGCATGGCAGAGTTCCGAACTGGATTGGGTTGGATGTTGCAAGCCCAAAAGTGGTTTTGAAGCGAGACCTGAAGTTTTTCATTTTTTTGGGAAATAGTAGAGAATAGGCCAATATGAAAGACGAGAATCTGAGATTGGAGGAGGGATGAGAGAGAGAGATGCAGAGGGAAGAGAGACAGATCGCGTTAGAGGACCGAAGGAAAGAGAGAGTGATCGTGGGAGAGCGGCGGAGGGAAGAAACAGTTTGCCGGAGAGCGCCGGAGGGAAGAGAGAGAGAGAGCAAAGGTCGGTGAGAGAGAGAGAGGAGTTAGGGTTTTTTAGTGGAAAGGACATTTTTAGAATCTTATGTGTGGATAAATCTGAATATATCATAATTTAGCCTATTTATTAACTTATGTAAATTATTAGCCTATTAATTTTAATTCATCTCAAGTCTTGACCTATTTCTCTCTTTTTTTTTTTTTTTTTAAATTTGCCTTAGAATGACCAGACCCATTGTCTTTTAGGGCCCAAACCAGCCTGGTTTAAGGGCGGGGTTGGGCATCCTCAAGCAAGTAGACATCATTAAATCATCAAGCAAGCTTGTAATTCTAGATTTTCTTCATTCCCAGAATTTGTCGGAGTGTTTTAAGGAGTTCGTATCAGTTTGGATCTCTTAGAAGCTACCCTTTCTAGATTTATTGAAGGTTTGATTTGAACACGATATGCCATTTTTAGACTTCAAAATCTAGTGCCACTACTAGAATCAGGTCCTTTAGTGACGATATATGTCTGTCGCTATATTTCCATATACAATGATTGAGGACAAGTTGTTGCTAAAACTATTCGTACAACATTACGAGTTTTTGTCGTCGCTAATTGGTCTTTTTCTTGTAGTGTGCAGAAACACTTGTTTCTCTAACATGGCCTCAATCTTTATCTTACACTCTTAATCACGTGTTGAAATGCTTTAGAAGATAAGAATTAGGAAAGCATTTCTTAGAACTTTGTTCAAATGCCTTGCACAGATACATTGTAAACCCCGAGAAATTAATGAATAAAAATTTGTGATTTTATTACAATTTGGATTATGAATTTCCTCGCTACTACGCAGTTTGATAGTTCATGCAATTATGTGATTGCTTTGTAATTTAGAATCAACTCCATGATTATGCCATGAGATTATGGAGATCTAGAGTTAGGATCTCTGTGTATGATAAACGATTTTAAGTGTGGATTTATTAGAAGCTTTACAATTTCCAATAAATTTCATTTGATCACGTATAATGAAATTAGGAACTATAACAGGAAATGGAAACAGAAATGCATAAAACTTAAAGATATGTAACTCTGGTATTTAAGGCAAAAAGGATTGATTTTATTGAGTTTAAAACATCCAAAATTTAACATGCAATAGCTGTAAATATAGCTTCTTGTGCTTCTCGTTATAAAACTTTATGAGAAGCACAAAATCGTGCCCTAAATAAGTTGACTTCTATTGGTGTGTTCTTTTGGTGTTCATTGTCCTTCTTGTTGTTTTCCGAAGTACAATACGGTATACGGATTTAGCTTGGCCTTCAAAATTTCTATACGTTTTAACTAATTAAGTACATGGATTGCCCGCTAATCTAGCTTTTGGCTTAGAATTTTTCCGTTGGTTTTTGTCACATTTGGACGGCTGCGCACGGTTTTCATGATATACATGGTTAAGAAATTACGTGGTTGACATTTGTGGTGAATTTACAAAATTGTAATAAATACGGTTATTCTGATTTCCTTATGATCTGATCAAACCTTCTATGAGATTCGTCGACAAACATTACAAGTAAAAGTAAACAGATGAGCGTAACATTACACTTCAGCTTTGGTCAAGTACGACAGTGATATTAAGAATTAGTTGTATGATTAAGAGAATATAATGACTGACACCATACGACGGTGATATAAAGGCTGACGCCATACGACTTAGTGAACGTTTAGTTTACAGATTCAGAATTATTCTCGATTTATGTGTATTTTCTGTGAAAGAAAATACTATAACGACTTACGAACTATAATTCGAACCATGATACGAATCTTCGTACCAAACACAGTCATATTTTATTTATCACCAATCATAATGACTGCTCATGCTGTTTGTCTTATTCTATCCATCACCAATCATAATGACTGCTTCTGGGACCACGGTTTCTTCGCGACGCATGTTGTTCGGTTGTTGTTCCGGTGTCGGCGTCGCAATAGTATCTTCCGTCTCGAAAGTTCCGGTTGAAGTCAACTCATGTACGGCCTTGGCAATTTTCTCAGCGCACGTTACGACCTCAATCAGCTGTAATGCGACAGCCGCAGCTGGTATTACGTCAAAGACGACAGCTTGTTCCCACCAGGATTGTCCTTTCAATAAGGTCTTGAGGCTCTCAGCAGCCGTTTTCAAGAGGTCAGATCTGGAAAAACAAGTACTAGATATTGAAGAATATTGGTTAATTGGTTTTCTCATTGTCCCCGCTAATTCCTTTAAGAGTTTTCCGGATTCTGAGCAGATGATTACGCAAGGCTCTCGCATATGGGTTTTGATTTCAGCCGGCGTCTGCAGTATGTATGCAAAATCATTATACTTTTAGTCAATAATACTTTTATATGGATGAAATTATGCACAGAAAAAGAAGACAGAAAGACTTCACAAATTAGTACGTACACGTACGGAGGAGTTAATTTTCAACATAATATTAAATTAACGGAAATATCTCCTGTGAGTACCCGGACCAACCAAAGACTTCCATCTCATGTAAAACTTTTCGGGTGCGGGTGCGTTTAGAGTAAAAATTCGTATCATAGTTCAGATTATGATTCGTGATTTATTACGATATTTTTTCTCACAAAATATACACATAAATTAAAAAAAAAAAGAACCAAACGTCATCTTATTTTTTCGAGTGTAACACTAATATTAGTCCAACACTTGTAATGTTGAGTGTTAAAGTACTACACGAAATGAAAATTGTTATAAATGGCGTCAGACTTGTCGGATGTCAAATTTAAGACATTTCATATATCTATATATAGATATATATTTATATATACGTGCCTGTATATCAGATTTCAAGTAGCTGTTAAGTGCTTCAAGTTTGTAGGCACATTGCCGGCTTAATGTTCCAATTTTTATGTACTCCTTCCAGGGATGATTGAACCTGAACCGGCCATAGCGCGGTTCCCAACTTGCCAAATTAACCTGATCAAAACCTAGAGACAGTTAGTTCCGTACGTACCGCTAGAAAGAAATAAGACAAATTTCATGTGGCTCACCATTGCATCTTCAGTGTTTTTTGAGGTCAAAACACTTTTGTAGCTCTCAAGAGAAGATTTGTCAGCAACAGTACTTCTCCGGTCATCTTCCATTGTGGCAAAGTATTCAGCTCCAAATCCTGTGATCATCAACTATTATGTTTTAGCTATTCTCTCAATTTCATCTTTCTTTCTTTCTTTCTTTTTTTTCTCATGTTAATTGCCCTTATAAAACATGTTGTATTTACGAATTAAATTGTTTAGTATATTTATTACGTATCATGGTCGGTACTACCAGCACAACTGATGCGATTAGGTAATGTAGATGCCTCGAATGAGTTGGAAGGTTCGATTCACCAATTGAGATATATCCACCTATATATTTACTAAATCACATTAAAAACTATCCCACTTGTATGAAGCTTTTTTTTGTTTTTGTTTTTCCAATAGGAGAAAACCTTATTAAAAATAAAAGAAAAAAAGTCTTACAAAACTAAAACATAAAAGCATAGGATGATAAAGAAAAGCAAAGGATGGTAAAGAAAAACAAAAATAAAAAATAAAATAGCAAAAACACACCCATGAGAGAAAAAAAATCTACAATTTCCTTATTTTAAAGCCCTTTCCACTATGATCGTAAGCTTGTAGAAAGATTTTTTTTCCCTTCGGTTGTTGTTCAATTTTTTGCCTAAAATTGTTCAGATCTGCCAAGTTTTCTCAAGAACTCGAAGCAGCAGTTTCTGCCTCTTTATGAGGGGATATGCAATTATTCAAAAAAAAAAAAAAAAAAAAAAACGAGCCTTTTGCGGAGAAAATTATTGGTTTTTCATTATAATCTAGAATTAACATTTCTTTTCCAATTCGAAAATTTGGTGGATAAGTAAATCATTTTCAAATTAACTAGTATACTTAATGTCAAATTTCACATATATCATACAACTAATTGGTGTTAAATTTGACATTAAGTATGGTAGATGAAAATTTTAAATATTTGTTGATTTATTATTAGCTGTTACATTTTGACCTTTTTCACTTAATAATTATTACTTCTACCTTTTTAATTATATTATAAGAGTTAAAATGTTTCCTTCTACAAGTTTCAAAAGATAACATTTATGACAAAAGTTACTATAACATTTAAAACAATCATTATTCATGAAGCATAAATAAAACAAATGTCATTTTTATACTTTTTGTGTCAAATATTCACATTAGCATTTACACTTGACATGGTCTTACTCTTCCATAATAAATCAGGAGAATGACAAAACGTTAACGTTTAAAACACCAATTCTAAGTTTGGGTGATCATCATGTAGACGACGATGGTAATGCAGTGATCAAAAGAAGGTATATCATGCTGCTGGTATATATCTCGACTCATATAGTAGCGGAGTCAAGAATTTTTTTGCGGGACATGTATTAAAATCAAAATTTGAATTACTAAAATAATAGTAAAACTACTTTTTGAAAATATTTGTATATATGTGTTTTTCTTCTTTTTTTTTTTGTCCAAGTGAACCAATAATATAAAGTGAGTTAATTAATTAACTTTTTAGACAATCCACACATTTGTGAACTTATTAATAGTGCCATTGATTTTTAGTTTATTTGGTCTCTTAGGTTAAAAACTATGAGATGCTTAAAAGTCAAGTTTTAAAGTTGTTAGAAAAATCTCGTACAATTATTACACTAGAAAATTTCTGGCGGAGCAAGCTGAGAAAATAATTGTAAGAAAAAAAAAGTTGGGGGAAGAAACTGCCTCGGTTTGAAATTGCTACGCCACTTACCTCATCGTCACACGTGATGTATGTCAGGGTTTATGATTGCCAGAAAAAAAAACAGTCCGTACATTTGTTTGATTTTTTTAACCTGACCGGTAAGAACTATTATTTTAACTGTTGGATTAGATTTTGTGTCACGTTATAAATTAATAATATAAATACTCGCATATTAAATTGTTGAAAAACTAATTCGATGGTTAAAACCAGCTGTTCCTACCGGTAGGATAAAATGACAATTCATATGATGAGAGTTTATTTGGAAACTGATCAATGTACCTTCCAAGAAATTCCCAAGCTTTTCAATGTTGTTGGAAACTGAATTTTGGAGTTCAACTCCACTCCATACAGGGCAAATGCAAAGGCAAACGGTAACAGCAGTAAAACAGCCAATGGCCACCGTTGAGAACCTCTTATAGGCCGTTTCCCACACCTCATCATCTTGATAACCCGGGACAATTACCATACAGAAGGTCAGTATAAATATTAACAGCCCGTAATCATTCCTTGCTTTTATTCGGGGACAGAATCTCATGAATGTCGCTACTGAACCTGCAATAACACAATATTATATTTATATATGTATATATGTGTATATATTAATATATATATATATATATATTATAAGCCAAAGATGTATATCAATTATTCAAATATGTTTCATACCTACTAAGAAGACAAAGGCAGTAAGTAGTATGAGCTTCCCAATTGATCCCGTAAGAGCTGCTAAACTATACAGGCCAACACCAAGAGCCCCAGCTAACAAGGTTGCTGCTGTCCGATTTATAATTTTCCCTATTGTTGCTCCTTTACACCCAAAAAAAAAAAAAAAAAAAAACCCAGTTGTATTAGAGCATCTCCAATGCGGTGTCAATGCTCAATTTTAGCATTTGAATGAAAAAAAAAAAAAAATTCAGTCTTCAATACAATGTTATTTTTTATTTTAAATTTGATAAATGCTATAATTTGTAGCGAAGTTGTCACAAAACATAACAAATGTCAAATTTGACATTTGGTATTGATATATTAACCTTTTAATTTATTGATTACAACAATTTTCTTTTATAATTGATTTAATAGTAATAGTTTATTTTTACAAGTTTCAATGCTTAATAATCATGAAAAAAAAATTGGATATGTCATTTTTAAATAACATTATGCATTGGATTACAAAATAGAATAGCACATCAATATTCCATTTTTACACCTTTAATTTAATGGTAAGCATTTGTATGGAAGATGATCTTAGTGTGAATTTTACACTAGAGTAAAAAAAAAAAAAAAAAAAAAGGGAAATTAAGGATTTATTTTTAACCGTCAAAATCCTTCCGAAATAAATGAGAAGGGATAATTAACCATTAAAGGAAGAAAAACATCACAACTAAACTGGCACCAAATTTTTTCCTCATCTCGCACTAAACACCCCACTCAAATATTGTTAAAAATAAGAAAAAGAAATACAAGAATGTTTAGAAAAAACCACCTTGAATGGCAATATTACACCAAGAAAAAAAAAAAGCAAAGAAAACGCAAAAAAGTTTAACCATAATTCATATTTGTATTATAATATATATGCTCTGCCTTAATTTGATTTTATTTTGACTAGATCTAACATTTAAAAACGTGCATAAACGATAGCGATAGCCAACAACATTACAATGAAATTAACATCATCACTGTATATGTTTATTTACGTGACATGAGAATTCAACACTTCAAAAAATAAAGAAAATCATTGGTGTTCTATAAGCTAGAGTACTAGATATAATTTACGAATATCGTTTGCAAATATTGTTCTTACCAACAGAAAACTCAGAGACGACGACCACAGTTATGACAGCCCACATTGCATCAACCCCAAAACCGTCGTAAAAAGGTTGGAAATTGTAATACAAAGAAATCAGCACGAGTGCTAAGCCTACTTTGATGGAATGAATAACCCTTCTAGGGTCATCTTTTGCCACCTTCTTTGTTTTTTCTGCAAAATCTACGACCTTTGCCACTAAGTACTTAACAGGCAAAGCCCTAAGACACTGAAAACCAAAAGCCATATTGTAACCAATATGGTATAGATATGTGCAAACAGGTAATCTTTATGGCGATATATTGATGATTTATATAGAGCTATAGAGTAAATATACATATTAAATTTCTCTATATTATGTAATATTTTGTTTTCACATTTCTCTATTTGACCTCATTTAGAAATCTGCATGCTGTGATCGGGTAATTGGAGTTGTTGCCGTTATTTCAACAACGTACGGCTCCATTATATATAAGGACATGACGTTATGGATACTTCGTTAAAACACTCTTAACAAAACAGGAGAAAAACAAGGAAAATGATATAATCGTCAAGAGCCTATTGAGGTCAGAGAAGATCAGCACCTGTTTGTGGAACTAAAATGAGATTTTCGTTAATATCGACTGTTAAAATTATTCAAGTACATGTACGACTTTTGACTGCTAGGAAATATTAGCTAAATTCAACCAAAAAAAAAAAAACAAGAGCATGTTAGCTCATTAATGTAAACGAGGAGAAGTTTGACATATGAACTTGAGACTTATATATATAAGTCCGAATTTGTGATCTGGATGTAATTGTATAGATATTTCAGAAATAGAAAATAGGCCAATATGAAAAGCTTAAGAAAGTATATAAGCCAATTTTTAGTTATAAAAATTAATAGGCCATAACTTGTCAAGTTATAGTTCATAACCAGATAAGTTATGGACAAACTTGTCAAGTTATGGTTCATAGTCAGACAAGTTATGGACAAAAAACGTCAATAACTTGTCAAGTTATGGTTCATAACCAGACAAGTTATTGACAAAAATAGTAATTTAGCCTATTTATTAACTTATGTAAACTATTGGCCTATTAATTTTAATTCATCTCAAATCTTGGCCTATTTTCCTCTTTCTCCCTAGATATTTTATACAAGTACATGTCATAATATACCTAGAAATTATCCATTAGACTTTTGATATATAGCTATGTCACTAGGCACTAGATATTCATCTATGTGACCATTCGTACGTACCATTCCCTCACAACTGTTCTTGAGATATTTTTTGTATTAGTATAAGTTAGAAGCTAATAATATTCTTGAGATATGTTTGTATCTGTAAAATTTTGAAGCTACCTCACCATAAACAGTTCAATTTTGAGTTTCCTTCTTTGGTTTCAAGCGTGTGTATGATCGATAATCAACTCCTTGGCCATGATTTTTTTTTTTTTTTTGCTTGTAAAAAAAGGGGGTCATCACGTCCATTGTCCAGAAGTCACTTGACAATCTAATGTAACTGATGAAAGCATAAATGCGGCCTCACTGCAAAAATGAGAATAGATCACTAGGCGATGGGTGAGAGCAAAATCGTTTTTCGCCGCTATGTCACCAGTCTAAAGGACATAAGTACCACCAGTGGTAAGTTGTTGCACTAATTGTGAATAAGTAAATTCCATGGGAGTATATCGCCTCTCTAATAGGCAAGGGCAAGTTACGATCTATAGATATAGAAATTAACTAATACTGCGAATATCAAAGTTCAAAGACAAAATAAAATCTTTAACAAAATGTATGGAAAATACACTAAAAGTTTTGGTAATGTCCTTCAATTTTGGTAGCACGTCCTTATTGTGGTCCTGTGAAGAAGAGAAAAGGCAAACCAAACAAAAAAGTAATCATTGTATCATGCCGTAGACTAAGAACCCGGACACATTAAATTTCATTTAGGAGGCCGCCTAAAAAATTTGATTTATAGTTTCTACAGGAACGGAAATGAGATTTTCATGAAAGAATTCCACACATATGTTCATATCTCACAGTATCACTATTTGAAATCATTTCATTTAAATTGGAATAAATAATGCTAACTCTTTTAAGGGAAATAGTAGAAAATAGGCTAATATGAAAAGCTTGAGAAAGTATATAGGTCAATTTTTAGTTATAGAAATTAATAGGCCATAACTTGTCAAGTTGTGGTTCATAACCAGATAAGTTATGAACAAACTTGTCAAGTTATGGTTCATAGCCAGACAAGTTATAGATAAAAACTGTGAATTATGGACAATAAATTGTCAAGTTATGGTTATGAACCAGACAAGTTATGGACGAAAACAGTAATTTGGCCTATTTATTAACTTATGTAAACTATTGGACTATTAATTTTAATTCATCTCAAGTCTTGGCCTATTTTCCTCTTTCTCCGGCTACAACATCTGTCACTTTAAATCTCATGGAATTAAGTACACATCTGTCGCTTTAAATCTCATGGAATTGATTTTTGTGGCAAGGTTAAAGTACATTCAAAATCTGTGTTCTTTTTATTTTTTTCACAGGCAAAAAAGGGATTTGATGACGGTTGATTTTGTTCAGATTAAATTTCGTATCTCATTTCTCATCAGAATTAAAATTTAAAACGACGAGAGAAGACAATCAACTGAAGAACCCAGATCAACTGGAACATTGTGGAACCCTCCTAAACATCATAAACAGTAACTTCTAGTCATTATATCAATTGCAACTAATTGTTTAGAATTTCTCGATAATGCCTTGACTGGTGGTAATTACGTAGGCTGGCATGGAAGCGTTGTTTATATCCTATCGGAATCCATGTGCTCTGATTACCATCAATGCTTCAAAGATATTGAATTGGATATCTTAGAGACCATGTTTGGGGAATATGAGATTAAGGCTAGACAAAATGCCGTCAAGACTGTGAAGGACAATAAAGATTATGTTTGAGACTCTAACATGGATTAGAACCATGAGATTAGAATTATTTTCGATTTACGTGTGTTTTTTGTGAGAGAAAATACTGTAGTGAACCATGAATCATGATTCAAATCAGAGAATGAATCATCCAACCAAACGGGCTCTAATTATGGATTATATATTCATGGCATCATTAGACTCGTCAATGAGGCTGTAATACCCCAGTCATTAAAGTCAATTTAACCATTGAAAACTTGTCAATATATATGTGTGTCTATAATATAAATCAAGGACCCATTAAAATTCTTTATATAAATTAAGGCACGGCTCTAAGGTTTTTATAATTCCTTGATTATTTCAATATGTGATCACTTTATGATATAATTATTCCCTAGACTACGCAAAAATATGAAATCGCTATGTTTTGAGCCTCTAGAACCTTAGAAAATTTGAGAATGACCCCATATTGCTAAATAGTCAAGAAAGGTCATAAAACGCGGTCAGGGTATGAATCTTCTCAGCTTATATATGTAAGATTAAAATTACTGATTACTCCACCAATGTGCTTTTTAGGAGTGGACGGCTTTAATATTCTATTATTTTCAGAACTCACATTATGGACTCGGAAATAAAAAGTATTTTGCTTAAGTCCAACGAAACCTTAAAAACCTTGCGATTTTTCCCCTATAGCTTCTAATTAAATCAGTGGATATGATCTTACAATGGGGAAATGTGAATTTTATAACCATGATTAATGAAATTTATATTATGCATCATTCAGAAATTTAGATTTTAAGTTTTCCATAAATTTTATGAGCCTTCGTAAAGAATTCAAAGTATTAATTAATTTTGTAATCGCCAAGACTATGGAAAAGTTCCTTTTAGGAACTCATTAGAGTGTAATTGTTATTTTTGTAATACTTCATTATTAAGAATGGCGTATGGCATGATTAAATGTTAAAACTATAAACGGATGAGAGATTAATAAGTTGTCATCTTTTAGAAGAGTGATTAATATATACATATATATATATATACACACACACACACACACATGTATATAATATAAAATTTTAAATTAACAAAATATGCACGAAGATGCATGCGTATTGCATGAATTTTATGAGATGCTAAGTGTAATCCATGCATTACATGTTAAGATAAGTGTCCAACTTATTAGTGCAAGCTTAAACGAGTAAAAAAGTGCTGAAGAGACACATTTTCTCAGCTCCTTTCTCTTTCAAAAACTTCTTATCTCTCTAAATCCCATATCTTCTCTAACTTCTCTATAGAAAACCCTAACTTCTCTCTAAAATTATTTTTAAAAAAATCCAGCTATAAAATCCTATGATTTCCTAATTATGATCGTATACCTTCTACTTCACGATAAATGGTACTTTTTATACTTATAAAAGAAATGAGAAGTATTATGTCCAAAAATAGTGATTTGAGTGTAGTTCTTGAGGCTTTGAAAACTTCCGGAAAGGACTAGAATGTCGTTTGTAGAATTGTGAACTATTGTAGTTTCATTAAAGACATTGGATAACTTAATTTTTATAGATTGCAGGTGCTGCTAGTTTTTATGTGCATTTGGGTCAACAATAACTCTATGAAGAGATTGAAGAGCTGTGCAAGTTTAAATATATATTTTTTCTTGTATTCATATATATATATATATATATAAAGAGATTGAAGAGCTGTGGCTTAAAATCAAATTGAGGCAGCACCATATGATCTCGTGTTGAATTCTGAGTAGGCTTCAACTTTTAATGGTGTTCTCATGTGCAGAATGATTTTTATGTTCTCCAAATAAAACTTTAGCGAAATGATGAATGAGAGTGTCCTTACTTAATACCACGCATATATAACTCATGAGACTGAACATCTTAAAAGATTTAGTAGAAACTTGAAAGGATAGAAAATTGGAAAGGTTGTTTGAGGTCTGAAATGATGTGATAGGTGGAGCACAAGGACTAGCGCAACATTCAAGAGTTTCATTGAATGGGTTGGTTCAACAAGTTGGAGACATGGCAAACACTTGCTAAGCCCTTTGCAACTCCACTTGAATCTCCTAGAACATTAATAGGCCAATAGTTTACATAAGTTAATAAATAGGCTAAATTACTGTTTACGTCCATAACTTGTCTAGTTATAAACCATAACTTGATAAGTTATTGTCCATAATTCACAGTTTTTATCCATAACTTGTCTGGCTATGAACCATAACTTGACAAGTTTGTCCATAACTTATCTAGTTATAAACCATAACTTGACAAGTTATGGCCTATTAATTTCTATAACTAAAAGTTGGCCTATATACTTTTTTAAGCTTT